GCCCCCAAAGCCTCTCCCAATTTCCTGCTTCCTTCACTCCTTCGCACTCACCATCTGACCTACCTTTATTTGTCCAGCTGTCTTGAGCTTTCCTTCCTACTGGCAGTCTTTCCCTGGAGAAATCTTGCCAAGTTGCATGATGGTTGCTGGGGCAGGCCTAGCCAAATTGTATGGGTAGTGAGTTTTCAGTGGACACCACTGAGCCTGTCCTGCAGGAGTTCTCCTCCATTATGAAAAACAACTAAGTAGGGTGACAAGACCTCTTTTGCTTTGGCCTCCAAGTCCATCCCTACTCTCGTCTCCCAGCTTTGCTTTACAGAAAAAAAAGCTTAGAAGGCTGGGTAATATTGTTGTGTTTGCCTAGAAACCCTTAAGACGGCCCTGAGAGCGTAGTCTCATTGGGCATTCTTTTCTTAAAGTTGTAGGTGTTGTTTCTATTATTTAAGGGAGATTTAATCCCCCAATATATAATTCTTAGTTGTTCCCCCACCCCCAACCCTGGGTCTTCCTTTGGGTTTGTAGAGAAATCCCCCCTTGTCTGTCCTAGAGTTGCTGGCCTCCAGGTGGGGCATGGGGATCTCCCACTTTTACAACTGATCTCCAGCTGACAGAGATCAGCTCCCCTGGAGAAAATGGCTGCTTTGAAGGGTGGACTCTACGGCATTGTACCATGCTGAGGCCCCTCCCCTGCCCAAACCCCGCCCTCTCCCGGATCCACCCCCCAAAGTCTCCAGGTATTTTCTATTGAGAAAAATAAAATAATAATTTGATTACGCCTATGCTGAGAAAAATTAGCACATCACCTGCATTTTTAGAACAAGGAACAAAAGACAATTCATCCATGACATTTGCCGTGCTTCTCAGTCCTTCTCCCTCTGCTTGAATTGGGTTTCTGAATTGATGGATGTTCTTGAAGGAAGTCTGATGTTCCATTTACATTCAGCATTGCTGTGCGTCAGAAGGCACACATGATTTCGGTCTAAGAAGTGCTTTGCTAAAGTCCAAGATCTCTCTAGATCATTACATTGTTTCCAAAAGTAGGCAGCCAGATAGCTTTGGAAGTCCATAGCAGCTGATACCTGTCCTTTGTTTCCCAACAGATAACATCCAAAGGCAAACTGCTTCTGCACAAGGAGCTCGCTTTGCACTTGGGGATGCCACAATTTTTATGACAGTTGAACTTACTGTGTTTGACTCTGTCGGTCGAACAGGAGTCGATCACTGGCTCTGTGTGGTTTTGCACCAAATGATTTGAATGCCTACTGAACAGATTTGGATGAAGCTTTTGCAAAGCCATTCATGCATGAAAACAACCATCAATATCAGTATGGACAACTTAGACCCATGTCAGATGG